GCCAACGACGAGCTTATGCTGTGCACCAAGAAACTGCTGCAATTGCTGGCCGTGAGCCAGCTTATACCGCCACCTCTTTCCAACCTGCACACGATTATTGAGCATTTCGAAGCACCGGAGGTAAGCTTCAAAAATACAAACATGTCTTTTGTAAGGATTTGACTTATTTTGCGACTTTACAGATTGCTGTGCTGCTGCGGGAGTGCATTTGGAATTATTTAAAGGATCATGTACCCTCACCTGCACTCTTTCATGTGGACAACAATGGTCTGCATTGGCGCAACACGAGCCAGGTTAAAGTGCTACCGCAGTATGTGGACACGCTGCGACATCTAATGCAAAAGAAGCTTAGCAAACTGGGCCCGCACTATCATCAAATGTTCATCATGAGCGATCTACATATAAGTTCAACTGCTCCAGCAATAGCAGAGCCAACAGCAGTCATACCCAAATCCAGCATTGAAGTCGTAGAATTGGAATAATAGAATTAGTTAGTCAACTGTTAAGTTTAAAGTTTGCAATGCCAATTAAGGTAAATTTAAATTTGTCAATAAAGGCAAAAACATATTCCATAAATAAGACCAAAAAACTTCGCACCATTTTCGAATTGCGAGTATTTACAAAGTTTAATCGAATCACTTCCACTGTATTACAAGTACTCCACTGCAGGAGTATAGAAATAATTAACTAAACTTTAGTACATAATTACACATGTCGGGAGATCCAAATGGAAAGGAATAATGTGTGAACTAAATGCAGTTTTTATATATATTTAAATATTCTTCAATAGTTTCAATTTGTATTACACTTATAAATTTTCCATTGCAAAATACTGTCCAGCAGTTTGTGTATTGTCGGCGCCTGTAAATTGCATTGATTTAGAAGTTATTAAAACCAACAACAGTTCAACAATTTACTTATTTGCGTTTGGCCGACGCGCAGTTTACTTTAGTTTACTTTGCTAATTGCAATTATTCAACGTGTTTGTTCTTTACATTTAATACATATCAACGACCTAAATAACTTTCTCATATAATACACGGTATTGTCACTTGGATCTTACTTGCATTCTGCTGCCTGCCTAACAGCTTTCTAAGCTAATTTAAGGTGTCGGCTCTTAGTGTGTGCCTCGATTACTCTCTCTCTCTCTCTCTCTTCCTCGCTCAATCTCGCTTTATCTTATTAAATACTTGGCGAATGTAAGACAACAAAAACAAAAACAAAAACCAAAAAGTTGCTCACAATTTGTTAACAAGTTATTACTTTTCCATATTACTCTAGTAACTAGGGGGGTTTGGGTAAGGCCTACGATGTGCGACAATGACTCAGTTTGCGCACTGAGATGCAGGATGCAAGTTTTTTAGCTCGACGCTTTAAGCCAGATCCCTTTTTCTTGACCGCCGTCACCTCCCTGGAGCCGTTGACCACGGCCTCAGCTTCAGCACTTGTGGATGGCTCGTACGAATGGCACGCCACGCTGGCAGCAGCAGCGGACCTATTAGCGCGTATCTCGGCTGCAGCAGAAGCAGCGCGCCGCGCTAATTCCTCTGAAAAAAAAATAATATCAAAACAATATAATAGTAATTAAGTGGTTACTAGGGGGTTGTAATCTCATCAACATACGATTGACGTCATGCTCAGTGAAGTAGACATCTTCCTGATCCTGTTCGTTGCCATAATGGTAAGCTTCTAGGTAAGGCAGTACTGTGGAACGTCCGTATTTGTCGCCCCTTAGTGGAGGAATGGGTATCGGTGGGCCAGTCACCGCTGGTGCGGACAGGAACCAACTGCAATGATACAAAAATGCCACATATAAAAGCAATTGTTGCATTTATGTAATGGACCACTTACGCATCTTTGCGTATTTGTTGCAGAGAGAGCCGCGCAGCTGGATCTGCTTGCAGCATGCCCAATATCAATTTGGCAAAGCTTTCATCCAAATCATATAGCCAGTCGGGCGCAGTCCACTGACTACGTCCAATGTTCTCCAGTAATCGGTAGATGTTGTCGCCCTCAAATGGATACAGACCCGTTGCCAGATTATAGCTGCAAATCAATAAACGTTTAAACGTTCCTAGGTACCAGCAAAAGCTATTTACGTACAGAGTAACGCCGCTGCTCCATATGTCCACTTTGAAACCTGCAAACGTTTCATGTCCATTGGCAATTTCTGGCGGTTGAAACGCAGGGGAGCCCTGACCCGTTGTGCAGGTGTCGTCTGGAGCAAACATATCCAGCTGCTCGGCCACGCCAAAATCGGATATCTTGAGCGTTTGGTCAAGCGTCAGCAGCAGATTACCCGGCTTGATGTCCTTATGTATCACCCGGCAGCTGTGTAAATACTCCAAACCATTCACCAACTGTTGAAAATATCGATGTGCTTGATAGAGCGGCATCTTTTTTTCCGGCGCATGATCCAGCATCTCCTGCAAGCCGCCAATGCAATACTCCATGACCAAGTACATCTTTTGTTTCTCCTCATTGTACATCACATCGACCAATTGCACAACGTTCTGGTTTTTCAGCTGCTTAAGCAAATGAATTTCCCGTGTCACATTCTGCTCGCCATTGGGTATGCGGCGTAGCTTTCGCTTGGTGAGTATCTTAACGGCCAGCCGGCAAAGGTTCTCCGAATTCATGGCCTCCTTTACTTTACCGTAGGAGCCCTCTCCTAGCACATCGCCCATCACGTATTTGCCCACCATTTTGATGTTCTTCTTTTTCTGTTGATATATAATGTCCTGGCTGTCAACGCGATTGAAGAACATATTGCCTATATCCAGTGTGACACGATCCAGGGCATCGATTGCTTCATCGTCCAGCCAGGTTACTTGCGGATTCTCCGCATGGTGGCTACCACCAACAGCCGCATCTAGTTCCACATCTTTGCTACCATTAAGCTCCACGAAAGCATCTTCTATATCGGATGTTGCGTCAAAATGGTAGTTTTGATTTGTTAACAGAACGGTAATCTCATCATCTGCCGCGCCAGCTAAATAGACATCCTTTCCAGCCACATCGACCGACTTGTCAGAGCCATGCTGCTGCTCACCGCCCCCGCCAGATTGCAAAATTGTTGCTTTAGCTTGTGCCTCCATTACATGTGTGCTGGTCACAGTAACAGTCATTTGGATGCGTTGCGCTCGCAGCTCAACACACGCTATTTGTGTACACCTATTATATGAACGTATAAACGGCGCTCTATTGCCGTTGCCGTCTCTTCGCGCTCTCCTTGTGTGCTCGTGGGCCAAACTAGAACATTGCATAAACCTTCGAACTGCCCACAACGCACAGTTCACATTTCTATGAGGGGTACGCTGTTTGAACCTTCGGTCCGTTTTACACGAAGATTGTCGCAACGCTTACTAGCTTGTTGGTTCTGTCCAGTTTTTGCTCTAATGCTATAAAATTCAGTGTTTACTTTAGACTGGGAATATGTTGTACTTAGATGTATATGTGTATGTCAATTGTTGATATAATATCGATAATTATGATATTTTTACTATCAATATAGCAGTATTCCCACTTTTGATTAAATTTAACTTTTCACAGCTTATCGATAACACAAAAAATGGCTTGATACAAGGTTTTAAGACAACGAAAAATTCAAAATAAATAAAGTAATAATAAATGTAAATATTTTGAAAGAAAAGCCAAAACAATCGCAACGAAAAAAGAAAATACAAATGAGAAGCGGGAATATCTCTATGAATCGTGTTAGCTAATGCTATAAATACGATATATCGGTGTTGTTAAACGCACCTCTAAGATAATTTATCGGCAGTGCAACAAAAAACTTTTGTTTTTATTTTACTTATATTAAAACCCTTCGAAAGGAAAAAGCAAGTCATGGCAGCGGAAATCACAACTAAAGCGCGATTGGAAAGACTAATGGCCGCGAAGGCTGACCTGGAGGCACAAATTAATAAAAATGGACAAATATTGGCCGCGGTAAATACTCACACAAATATGTAAGCAAGGTGACATAGATCAAGGTACCAAAATAAGTTATGTGACGTCAGAAATGCCGCACTCTAAAAGTAACAAAAAATATAACTCCTAAACTTTTAGGAGTTATCTTATGATCGTGACCAAGCGCCTTGCATACTTATGTTTTAACCGGTACAGTTACTAATATTTGATCCTTACAGAACGACAATGTTGGCATGACCGGTTCACTTGTTGATGCTGAAGGATTTCCTCGCAACGATATCGATATCTATCAGGTGCGCCAGGCTCGTCAGACGATTATTTGTTTGCAAAATGATCACAAGGAGTTGATGAATCAAATACAAACACTGCTCAATCAATACCATGCTGAGATAGCTACCACAGATCCTGAGCTGGTGAATCGGGCGTCAGCCTTGGAACTGAACAGTGGGCGAGAGGGCGGTGGAGCACTCATAATGCCACTGAATACACGCGCATTAGTTGTCGTTAATCTTGTAAGCCCCAACTCGCCAGCTGAGGAAGCGGTCAGTGCCATGTCACATAATCCAATTATTATTGTGGAAAGTTAATTGTTTCTATTGCAGGGCTTGCGTGTGGGCGACAAGATCATGCGTTTTGGCTCCATCAACGAAAATAACTTTAAGGATAGCCTAGCACAAATTGGTGAAGTTGTGCGCGACATGCAGAATCAAAACGTGCAGCTAAAGATCAAACGTGGAGAACTGTTGCTGGATTTGATACTGGTGCCCAAGGCATGGAGCGGTCGAGGCCTGCTCGGATGCAATATTGTGCTGCCACCGGAGCCCATGGAATATTAGCTCTTATTTATACAATTTTAAGCTCTAATTTTTATTTAACATTCTATTGCGTGTAATGTTTGGCAATGTAATTTAATTCCTTTAAACCTTTGAAGTTGAATCGGTGGCCTGAATTTGCGAAGCATCAATTTGTCATTTCAATGCTGGCTTTAATTGCATTGAAATGACAGTTTGCAACGGCTGCTGACTAACTATGCTAAGCCATGACACCAAAATACCTAAGGCGAATAGGTCAGGGGGTTGGGACTGAGTTAAAACTTACAAATAGCTTCAGAGAGTGCTTCGATTCAAGTGCGCGCCATTTTGCTAAGCTTTCGCAAGTTGGCAGCCCCAGCTTGCGCCTGCCTACTCCGCGTCGGCATAGGATGCTCAACCCTAATACCCACAAAGGATCCAGCAGCCTGTCAGTTTGTGCGCCGTTGCCGTGCCAGTTGAGAATTACAATCGAATGTGCGTGCATTGCGAACGGGAGAACGAGCCGAACGATAAACGAAATGAGATGAAATTATTGTAGTGAAAATTTGTGCAATTAAGATAGAAGCTAAGCGAATGACAAATTAAAGCGAATGCAAAATTCCTAGAAATTGGACATTTTGGAATCTGAAAATTTGGCCAATAGTCCAATTACTGTGTATGTGTACAATGTTTTATAATGAATACCAGTTCCTTTTTTCGGTTTTTTATTTTTGGTTGCTTGAATTTCTTTTTTGCGAAGCTGTGCCTGTGCATGGGGCGAAGAACGAGTCAGGCGCATACATCAGGCAGTTAAATAGACGGCCACAGGATTCTTGATAGTGTCACTGTCATTGCCACTGCACAGCAAATGTCAACGACAGCACAAATAATACGAGCCTGGCGGAGGCTGCGCGATTACGCTTGCGGGTGGCGCAACAAATAATGAGAATAGAAAAAAAAAGACTTGAAACGAAAAAAAAAACACCGTAGCATAGGGAAACTAGCAAAAAGTTAACTAAGGGCGTTTGGCATCCCACCTAGAAGTATTGTGGGCTGCTGCAGAAATTTCGACACAGTCACACAGCTTGCCACACTCATGTGTTGTGGCATCCTCAATGTTCAACCACCCTCTCACGGTCCGAATTTGTGCTTACGTTGTGGCTTGGTTCAATAAATTATAAAAAAAAGCATGTGGCTGTGCCTGTGTGTGTGTGTGTGTGTATGATGTACGCTTCAACGCGCAACGTTGACGTACTGAAGACAGCTCGCCCTCACACACACTCACACAGGCACTCACACTCACACAGATAGGCAGACAGACGTACACACTTAAATTCATATACAAATACTGATGCATGAATAATTTAATGGTACTGCAATGCTGCCTACTTGTTAGCCAAATTGAAAAGCTGGCCAAAAGCAAAATATACGATTCGTTTCTCAACAATATAGCATGCCTTTAAATTTGCTTACAAAAGCGCACGTATGTACATGTGCAGGACACTCAGACAGAACGCACACAGATGAGCTTTTTGCTCCTTATTTTTCATCCACGGCTTGGCCCCTTTCATCTCATTTATTCGGTTAAGCTTTTGGCGCAATATTTGTGTATTTTTTAATAATTCAGGAACTACAGTTACCGCCAAATCTGCAGAATTTCTTACAGTTTTACACTTCTGGCCCAGTTTAGGTGCCAAAAATCTTGGCGCTTATCTGAAAAACGCGCATGCAACTAAATAATTCATGTTGTAGCCAATTTAACACAAATGCTGTATGTATGCATGTGTTAGTGAGCTTCTATGTATATGTATTGGCTTGTGTCGCGGTTGTATGTGTTGTTTGCACAGTGTCGCAGGGTTCTTTTTCTGTTTTTTTTTTTTCGTTTTTGACGATGACAGATTAGGCAATTTGCATCATTAGCCGCCAGCAAATGGCCAGGATGTGGCCAAAACTGTTGTCACGTTCTGCGTCAATCTGAGTGCGCTATTTTTAGCCGGAGCATACTACAAAATACTATTTATGTCCATTTTGTAATCCCAGACCACCCACAGAGTGCGTAGCCAGAACGCAACTGCAGCGTAACTGAAGCCGAAGGACATTGCAACGACGAGATGCCGCTATGTGTGTGCACAGCAACAACAACAACTACAAAAAAATAGCCGTCTATAGCAGCAATAGCCTTGAAAGGGCTGTTACCCATAGCTGCAGGACCAAAGCGCCAGGTTACGGTTACGGTTACAGTTACAGTTCCCTGGCCGCTGCCAACGCCGCCAGCAACTGATTGGGGGCACAGCGAACATTTTGATGATGACGCTGATGATGCAGTTACAAATGCAGCAGCAGCAGCTCTGTTATAAATAACACAAGGACATGGATGGGCGCAATGAACGCGAACGCGACGAGGACAAAGGCGCAGGCAATAGCAACTACAACAACAGCAGCAGCAGAAGCAGCAGCAGCAGCAGCAGCAACGGTAGTTGCAACGGCATGTGTGACAGAAATAAATGCAGCCATGTACATCTACATTCGCAAGTGCTGCTAAAATTAAAATACTTATAGTTGTATCATATTTAATGCAATTGCACTCGAGTGCACGAACAAGTGACAGCTAAGTGAATTTCTCAGATAATTGCCTCGTGCGCCAAAAAGTAGACAACAACAACAACAATAACAACAAAAAACTAAAACTAAACGACGCCAAACGCGCGCGCATACACACACACACACACACAGCAAGGGCCAAGACTTTGATTAGGCAGCGCCTAAAGCTGTCAGCGCGCGTGTGTGTGTGTGCAGGAGAGCAAGCGAGGGCGAGCGAGAGGAAGAGGAAGGGAGAGTGAAAGTGGCAGGCGGCCAAGGTGTCGAGTTTCAAGTGTTTCTGTTTGCACGTGTGTGCGCGTGTGTGTGTGTTAGTTACTGCGCTTAACCTGATTTACAAAAGTTTCGTCCTTTCAACGTAAACGACCAAGGCACACACACACACACACACACACATATGGAAGTCAGCAGCTGGATTAGTCACAATACCAATAAACCGTACAACCGCAAGAGAAGACGCCGCCAGCAGTCATCGAGGAGACAGTCGTACATTGCGAATGGAATGCATGTTTTTAGCCAATAACCTCGCCTAAATGAAGCATGAAGAAACAAAATGTCCGCACGATATCCCTGATCGTGTGCACATTTACATATTTACTTGTGGGCGCCGCCGTCTTTGATGCCCTCGAATCGGAGACGGAAAAACGCCGCTGGGAGGCATTGCAAGGTAATCAAATCTATATACCATATGTTCTCTATACTCTATTAACATTGATATCATTTGTTTTTGTTGTTGCTGCTGCTGCAGGTGTCGAGGATCGGATAATACGCAAATATAATATATCACAAGAGGATTTTAAAGTCATGGAGACGGTGGTTCTCAAATCGGAGCCACACAAGGCTGGCCAGCAATGGAAATTCACTGGCGCATTCTATTATGCAACCACAGTGCTAACAACAATTGGTATATAGTTAATATATATATATAAGAATACACTTGTTTATATACAAAACAAAAGAATTATAGCTTACGGTTTTCAGATATGTCGGGTGAAAAGGGAAGCTCGTAACTGCTGTGTTTGGTGAAGATATCTTAAAAATATTGTATTTTACCAATGAATAACTTATTTTTCAACAGTCACTCTCTTTAGAGATGTTGATAAGTCATGTATTATTTATAATACCACAGTGGTAGTAACAAACGCCGTGTTCGGTTACGATATATACCTAAGTTTTGTCCGATCATTTCTATGGCAGCTATATGATATAGTGGACCGATCCGTTCGCTTTCGACACTTGTCTCTATAGTTTCTATAGGTAGCTTTAAAATTAGAGACTAGTTTGCATTAAAAACAGACAGACTTACTTGGCTATATCGATTCGACTGATGATACAGATCAAAAATATATATGTGGGTATGGGTATGAAGATGTTTTCTTCTGTGCCCTTCTCATTTTATGATATTTTTAAAATACCCTCTACGCGGGTATATATATCGGAGGTTAGGTTCGATTGAATATTATTTAATTAGTTTTTTCAGTGCCGTGCCCCTAAATAAGGTTTTCCACAATCTAAATCGAAAGTTTCCATTTACTTAACTTACATTTTTCCATAAGTCAATATTAAGTTAATGTATTAGTTTGGGGTAGTAAATATATCGTTAGTATTAGAAACTGGAACATATGAAAACTTCAAAAAAAAATAGAGTAAATGTGAAGCCGATTTGCAAACTTGAGTTAAGATATAGGATTGCTGGAATTGGTAAGAATGATTCTTTGCTGTCGTAGGACTGTTATCGTGAGCTTACAAAACAGATCGCAATTATGTCATTTTCACATATATGTATACCCAAATTTTCTATAACTCAAAAGAGAACTTTTAATCTGAATTGATGAATTTGCAGGCTATGGACACTCAACGCCAACGACCCGCGGTGGCAAACTATTTACAATGTGCTATGCCATTGTTGGGATACCCTTGGGTCTCGTCATGTTTCAGAGCATCGGAGAAAGAGTGAATAGACTGAGCAGGTGCGTTCCATCCTCCCCCAAATAACATTTGACAGCCTAGTGACAATAGTTATATGCCCTTTTGTGATATCAGCTTTGTTATCAAAGCGGTGCGGACATCGCTGCGCTGCAAACGAACGCTCGCCTCAGAGGTGGACCTTATATGCGTTGTCACGACGCTCAGTTCACTGACGATAGCGGGTGGTGCGGCGGCTTTTTCGAAGTTTGAGGGCTGGAGCTACTTTGATTCAGTATATTACTGTTTTATTACTTTAACCACAATAGGTGAGCGATCAAAACGACTCTTAATTGAATAATAATAATATTTTAGTTTTATTCACATATTGTAGGCTTTGGCGATATGGTAGCTTTACAAAAGGATAATGCGCTAAATCGAAAACCCGAATATGTTATGTTCGCACTGATATTTATACTATTCGGACTGGCAATTGTTGCCGCCTCACTGAACTTGTTAGTACTAAGGTTTGTTACAATGAATACCGAGGATGAGCGACGCGACGAGGCCCAAGCCATGCAGGTGAGCTATCATCTATGCCTTATAATAAAGTACATCAATATTGTCCATGCCATTCCTATTTCTTCTGTAGACTTGCGGACTGTTTTTTTTATAAGATATAAAATACACTTATCCAGTTGACCAATTGGTAGTTAACCGTTTTCCTCAAAACCTTTTAAACTTATTAAACTCTATTAGTCTTAACTGCGTACATACTTAGTTCAGAGCTCTAACTGATGAGCATTCCCTTTGACTTGAATCACTTTTGCCCATATTTTTATAAAATCAATTATATTTATTTTCTTTAACTACTTGCTTGCCAATTAATTGCACAATTTATCAACTAATACGCGCACATTCTGGTTTTTCCATATTTGCTATTGTAAGAAATATACTTCAATTCATTAATACATTAATTTATTCAATTCAATTAGTCCGATTATATTAAATATACTTATATATTAAATATATTTAAATTCATTAATTTATTTATTCAATTTAATACGTCAGAATATAAAGAATTTAATCGAAAATCAAATGTATATTTTTATCTTTTTTGGCATATTTTCGGTTGCTTTTGACTTAATGATATGAAACAAATGCAAACGCGCGCTTAGTTTATGACCAAGTCCAGTTTATGGACCAATGAGGTGATTGCGGTTTTTTGAGCTTAAAATACATACTATGACTTACCAATGCTACAACAACAACAACAACAACTACTACTGCTTCGTGCAGCCTAACAACCTGATCTACACTGAACAAACACATTTCTTATCCGAAATCCAATACCCTTTAAAAACAACAAGAACAACAGCATTTAACAGCACTCACACACTTTCTATTCACAAAATGCGCCACAATCTATGCTATATCTTAATCGTGATATCAACTTATTAGTTTACTAATTGAGATATTGGCATGATATTACAGGCACTACAAGTGGCTGTCAAACTGGAGGGCGATGTGATAACATCCAATGATTCCATACTGAGCGGCTACGAAGGACAAGAAGTCGAATCGCTGAATGGCACGAATACATCCTCAATGTGCTCATGCCGTTGTATTTGCTTGAATGGAAACCGGCATAAAAAGTATGTAATCCTTCACTTTGACTTGGACATAAGCCTTAAGTTGGATATAGGCATAAGAAAAAGGCTTAAGCATAGACCATTTAGCATCTTGAGCATAAGCAACCCTTGATAAACGACGGCTAAGTGTGCGATTGTACGGTTTCCGTTTCCTGCTTCATTTCCTTAGTCTACTTACTTACGTTGGAACTGCGAATGTGGGAGAATAAGAAATTTATATATTCACAATATATATATTCAAGGGTCTAGGGAAATGATTCGATTTGTAATTTAAAAAAAAAAAAAAAAATCTCCACTCTTTTGGAACTTGTTTAAATTATTGCTAAAAAGCCAACAAAAATCTTCAGTCTGGACCAATAACTTATCTATTCTATATTAAATATAACACCTCACGTTATCTCTATTTATAAAACTGCTTGTCCTGACTGACTGACTGACTGATTGGTGATCAACGCACAGGCCAAACCGTAACAGCTAGGAAGCTATTGTGTTTCGGGAAATTCCACCCGCAAGTGTGGAAAAATCGCGAAAAACGTTTATATGTAACTTTTTTGTTTACCATCCGATCGGCCTCAAACTTATTTTCAAAAACACTTTGAGGAAAACCCATTCCTCCTTGGTGGAAATGGAGGTCAAAGATTTGGTGGGTGACGTTTCGCGCTCAAATTAATTTCCAGAGATCTATAAGAAAAATCATTTGATACGTGTTTCACACTTTTCGCCGAATTCAAACTTCTTCGGGGGGAATGCGATTTAAAGATTTTTTGGGCGAAGTTTTAAGTTGTGTCCGATTTGCTTCAAACTTATTTTCAAAGCTCCACATAATAACTTAATAAATACGTATTTTAGCGATTTGGGAAATTCCACCCGCAAAAAAAGTTGTTTGTTAACGTCCGTTTTAAAGCTTTGAGAAAATGTATTTAATACGTGGCACGGGCAAGGCCGGGCTATACCCGCTAGTTATATATATATATATATTTTTATTATTATTATTTAGCGAATTAGTTCATATATTATGAAAATGTGAATACAGGAAAAAATAGTTTTGACTGATTTTTAATGAACTTAGTAATTAATCTGGCTTAAAATTCGGCTCAAAGTAATTAACAATTTTGAACTTCGATCTTAGGGGCAAAGTAACTTCCAACTTATTTTAAATATTGGTTATAGCATATAAAAACTTTAAATATGATTATCAAAGATAACAAACTATTTGGTCTATGCATTTAAGAAATGTGTATATATTTTATATACATATGTGTATTTCTACTTGAATATTATTTGTAATTAGATTTCATTTAAACGTATTTTCTTCTATGGCTTTGTATTTTCTGTTGATGTCCTGTATGTCCTTTGGCTTTGTTTGATGTCTCAATGTTGTGTAAACGTATTTTATAACTGAATACTCTGGCAACAGGCATAAAAACGCGACCAGTGAAAACGTTGCAGAGTAAGCAGATTTTCTTAGTAATTTGTTATGCAGTAGATATGTAACTCATTAAGCATTTAGTGCATCATATAAATGAATACAATACATTTACCTGTTCTACTGCTTCCACAGGCAGCAGTATAAGCTGCGCCGTTCGCCGACTCACATACGTCACCTGCTGCCGGAGGTGGTGCCCATGCAGGATCTGAACTACGATACGCAGAGCATGCACACCATAGGCGCCCTCAATGGCAGTGGCCTCATCACTGGCAGCCACATGGGCATGGGCATAGGCCTGGATGTTGTGGACGATACTGGCAATCGTTCACCTCTCAAGCAGCCGCACAAATTGCTCAAACGCAATGTATCACTTTTATCTTTTCGTATTTAGATGCTAAATTTGAAGCAGCAGCAGCAGCAGAAGGAACAACGAATATGGCCGCGCCCACTCGTGTAGCAAACGCCCCTCCCCCTTTCCTGCCTCTCCACAAACGACTTAAAAATAATTAAAGTGATAAAACTTTCTCTGATACATAGTACTTAAACCTAATGGAATTCGGAACTGAAGGGTAGTGAATATTAAATTGGAAAAAATTAAATGTGCAAATTCATGTGCGTTCACGAATTAATATTTATGTGCATTTACAATGTAAATCAGTGCATAAATATATACATACACACATATACAATCTGTAGTAAGCATTATAGAGATAATATCTACCTATATGTATATGTATATTATTGAATTAGGGCACTAGAAAATTGATCTAAACCACTGCCATTTCCGAGCGATAGACACAAAATCACAAGGATCACTTAGACCTTCAGTCACTCTCTCTCTTTCTCATTTTCTCTTAACAGCCACTGAAATTAATCAATATCGAAATTATAGTGTGAAACACTAGACTAGAACTGCCTTTTTCAGGCTGCACTTAGATAACGTACATGATCCGCTAAGAAGAATGAATATAAATCTATATAGATTCAAAGCCGTGTCAAATTCAATTTTTGTAAATACTAAATATTTTTGCTTAATATTTTTGATTAGAAAATGCCCATTTCATTCTTATATATATATATATATATATATATTTCTTTTGATTATAAATGATGTATTTAGTCACGAGCGGGATATTAGTTTAATATTATACCTAAATATACATAATATAGTTAGTAGTCTCATTAACAAAACGCCAAGGTAACATTACAGCCAACTACTTGTCTTACCAAGTGCTCAATTGACTCCAAAGAGTGCCAAACATAATATAGATAAAAGGTATATGAGTGATGCCACGCCCACTCTATGCCAACCCTAACTATAGACAGCCCTTTGCAGTCCTAAGTTCTATTAGTCACTGACCCTCAAATCCTCAGTCGCATTTAGACGCATCAACGCAAACGATTGCATTTGGTTTTTATTAAGTAGATAATTCCCAACTAAGATAACTTCCATATTACAAATAATTTCCTTGGTATTCAGCTCACTCGAGAAGAAAACGCTTTCAAATGCCCCAAAAGAAAATTCTTATGTGCTTTGTAAATATTTTAGTAAATAAACGTAGTTAAAGACATACTTAAAAATAAAAACTATTTATAAAAAAAAAACATAACTACGGCAGTTATGAAGCATAGTTATGTATTTAATTATGTATTATCAAAAGGCAAACCAAAACAAAAAAACAAAATATATATATAGTACGACTTTTTAATATACAATTTATTTCAAATTTTTAGTAGTTATCGTCTGTATGTGTTTAAACAATTTCACAAGTATGAAATATAGCTGCTCAATTCTAAATAAAAGTAAAACAAATTGTAATTTTAATTCATTGAAAATAAAGCAAAAAATTAAAAACAAAAAACTTTTATAAAATACATTTGAGTATATTGAAATCCGAAAATAAACACCAAATTGTATATACTTAAACATGCTGCAAGGTTGATTTAATGCTGATGGATTTTTACACCTCTTGAGAATTGTATTATATTATATCATAGTGCATTAGTTTCCCACCACAAAAGAACCACGTTTCCAGTTTATATGTAATGAATCCATTCGGTTTTTATTGAAATATTTGTGTAGACAAATGTGTGATAATTTGGTTTAAACAATTTGTTAGGCAAGAATTTTATTGCCTTTGCACAAGAAATAATCAATGGAAAAGTATTCGACCGACAGATGCCCTTTGTATAATTTGTGTTCACATGCGTACAATCGGGTATATTCAACAATTAGAATACATTGGTGAAACATGTGTGTCGAACGAGTTCTTAAACATAATTTTTAAATATTAAAAAATGTTTACGATGTTTGGTAGTGGATTTAAGATTTGCACGTTTTTGTTTTGTTTTGTTTTGTTTTGTTTCAAGTGATTTTGGTGGATAAGGTGTCTGTATTGGGGGTTTTCTATAGTAATTAGTCGAAATCTAAAATCAATATTTTTATAATTAATGGGACAGCTAACTAATCTAATCGTCCATGCTTTCGTTGTTGCGATCCGGTGAAGCGTTGCCATTCTTCGGGGATGCTGAACGCGAACGAGAGCGAGAACGTGACTTATTATCAGCCGATGCGGAGCGATCGCTGCGAAAGAGATGTTTGAAATAAATGTTAATAATTATTTACTAAATATTTGGAGCCACCAAACACGGTCTGCACATCCAAACAAAATCAAAGAAAGCACGAAAAGAAAGCATATCACATGAAGCTCACAGAATTAAAGAAAACATACAAATTATATGGCAGACACTTACCGTGAACGTGAATCGCGGCGATTAGACTTTGAACGTGATCGAGAACGTGACTCACGCTTGGAATTGGAGCGTGAGCGTGAGTGCGAGTCGCGCTTGGGCGAACGGGAGCGAGTGCGTGAGCGGGACTTTGACTTTGACTTGGACACATCACGAGATTTGCTGCAAGAGAGATTTTATTGTTAGAATTCAACTTCAAGCCTAAACTCGGAAAAAATAATATACTCACTTTGAACGCGAACGTGTGCGAGAACGCGATTTGACTGGTGACTTGGACTTTGAGCGTCCACCGCGTGACTTGGAGCGGCTGCGCGACTTAGAGCGCGAATGCGACGAGCGGCGTGAGCGAGAACGTCTGCGCGAGCGAGAGCGTGAACGTGAGCTGGATGAGCGCGAACGACCGCGTCCACCACCTCCGCCACCACCACCACCCCCGCCGCCTCCGCCACCCCCACCGCTGCGTCCGCCACGACGATCCTCGACCAAATGAACACGACGCCCATTCAGCTCAGTATCATCAAGCTTCTCAATGGCAGTCTTCATGTCCGACAACGAGGCAAACTCCACCACGCTAAAGATTGAGTACAGAAATTAGTTGACAAATATCAAAATGTACTTTGACATTATTTACCCCTCGTTGCGACGCTGCTTGTGGGCATCAGCATAGGTGACCTCGCCTGCCTGGCGCATGTAGTCCTTCAGATCCTGCAGATAACGCACAAACAATATGTGGATTAGTACAAAAAATAGCAATAGAGATTTGTGCTCTTCAAGGCAAATCAAATACAGCGTGCAGACCAAGCAGTTTGAATATATTCCCGATCTGGTATCGTTGCAACGCTAGTATGCGCAACATTTATGTGGAATTGGGCCTTCCTAACCAAAGCTCTGCCCTCTTTGCCACTCAATATCAGTCTGTATGAGATCGCTCGCATCGCCTGCCTAATGGACACCTCTCGTTTTTTTGTTGGGGGTATGGAGTTAGGGGGTAGAAGTGCAAGTGCCAGTTGAGCCGTTGCCAGTTCAGTCAAATTGAGCACAACAACGCCAGTTCGGTTGAAATATTCATTGCTTGTGTTTGCTGCACGCGGTACAAAACGTAAGCATAATTATATATAATAATATTTATATATATTTTTTTTTAAATACATTTTTTTTTTTTGGTTTCTTGATCAAAAAAATGATAAATCAAAAGTTGTAATTGAGTTCTTACTTAATGCGCTTTCAGAGAGAGGACACACACATCGCTTTAATCGTACAACACCGAGAGTTTTGTTTGTCTGCCTAGTAACTGTCGGCCAATGGGGGCAACCCTCAGCTGGACCGCAAGACCTCATCGAAAGAGCAGTTAGCGAGATCGAGAGCTCCACATCTCAACATCAAATCATTTGATCAGCATGTTGGCGGCCAGGCCAGGCCAGCAACCAGAAAACCGCACGCAAAGTCGGCCACACAATGCCATGCCAGACACTCGGGCAGTTTTGCAGGTGAGCGAATTGGCCAGGAAATGCTTTTTTTTTTATATATGTATGTGCTTTAACTTGATCATTATATTGAATTTATGTATATTTTTGTTGTTGTGCTACTTGTTTTATTTTTTTTTTGTTCATGTACTTTTTAATCGTGGGACCCAAAAAAACGCACAGTCAGAAACAGTTGCCGGGAGCCAGGACCACTGCCGGGGCCGCAGTCGGGATTTGTGGGTGAGAGAGCGAGCAGTGGCAGTGTAGAGCAGCAGTACGCACAGTACAAAACAGTACGCAACCAGGCAGTCAACCAGGCGGCGGCATCTCATCTCTCCCACGGCCTCACAGAAACGAACTGTAAAAATAAGAAATACGTTTTGGGGAGCGCCTCTGAGGCTGGAACGTTATCGGCGGTGCGACGATGGCGTGTTAGCTGCTCCATGAGTCTCTAGTCGATAGTCAGCCAGAGCCAGAGCCAGAGTCAGAGCCAGGCCAGACCATGCCAGTTAAGGGGAGGAACACAGACACATAGAATTGGCGCTAGTTTTGGATGCACAGTGGTTGCACTTTGCCTAACCGAAGATGAAATGAACGCGTTAAAGAGTCGGCCAGTATCATCATCGTCATGTCATCAATGGTCATCATCATCATCCCATAGCATCTAACTGTTTGTTTTTTGTTAACGTCTCTCCCTCTCTCTCTCTCTCACACGACCTCAAAACTCTCATATTGGCTATAAGGAATTTGACAATTCTTTATATAATTTTTGTAATTAAATTGTGAATGCTTAAACATTTAAATACCTAAGCCTCAGCGTACAATAGGCAAGCCTACGCAATACGGCTATAACATATTCTTGGCATTTTGGGCATTGCGCGTAGGCTGGCCTTTTGTTAGCCCAAATCTCAGGCAGCTGCCATCACAATTCACATCAGTTGTTTGTTTTAAATTTTTGGCATGGATGACGACGAGGCATCAACGACGACGACAGCGGCGACGGCGATGACGACAGCGCGAAGACCAAGCGTGTTTGGGAGATGGTTTTTAGGGGAAATACAGCTTTTATATAACCCAAGCGAAGATCATTCACAAAGCGACCGACTATGATAACGTGGTTTGCACTGTCAGGCGTCGAATCTCTTTATGTTGCGTGCGTGTTTTGTTTCTGTCTCTCGTTTTTTGTTGGATTTCTCTTCCGTTTGTAACATTTGTAACAAGTTGAGGCCCCCGGCCAGGCTTTATATCGTACATCGACGAAGTATTTGGCCATAGCTCGTTATTGTTTTATTAGTTTCAGCTCGCTTTATGGCACCTTTTCTCTGGCCATTACACATATACTGCCTGTATTTTTGTCACTCTCTTCTAAGCTCTGGGGCGGTTCAGTAACAGATACACATCACACTCTTTTTCTTTTTGGTTGGTGTGAAAAAAATAAGTGTTGGGATTGCAACGATCAGTACCAGGTTTTAACGTACTTTTGCATTGTTTAACTTTTGCTTAAGTCTAAGTCAACTATACAGCTTAACCTAAAAGATATAATACGTAGTTTATTGAGCTGGAAAATAATCGATGTAGGCATTTAAATTTTCACACTTTAATCCACAATTGCGCCGCGTGTTACAATCGATAGTTTTCAAGCTCAATAATCAAATGGGGAAAACTACTAGGAAAGAAAAAAAAATAAAACGCCAAGCGTTTTGGGGAGCAACACCAACTTAGAAATGGAATTCAAAAACAAAACAAAAAAAGAAGATACAAGGGGGAGGTGCTTGGTTTAGATATATAATATAGTTTATAGGTAGATTGATTAGCTCTTTCAGTAGCGCCCAATTGACGAGTCAGTTAGATTGTTGTTACCATATATGTATATATACTACTCTACTGTTTATGCTACAGTTAAATATGTAAGTAGGGAGATAGATGACTTACCTGCCAGCTGACGCGACTGGACAAATTCTCGACAATCAAACGGTACTCAGTGCGCAATGGCGGTCCATAACGGGAGGATGATCTGGAATTTTTGTTTCTGGTGAATAATTTAATGAATTCAAAATTAGTATTGACACTGCGCTGCTGCTCAAAAGATTTTATATATATGTACATATCGTGATTATTGCAAATGCTACTCCCTAGCCAAATGGCAAGAGCATAAAATTAGAGCATTTCAATATATAAAAGGAAAATGGAGGATGGGGATGGCAGTCGCAAAAGGCGTGCCGCAAAAATTCAATTAATAATAGTAAATTATGTGCATTTAATTATTAGAACGTGCAGCAAGTAAGTAAATTATTATATGTTTCAAATTAAGCAGAACAGAAAGTTATATTAACATATATATAAACAGCATGTCAGTGTCTTTAGGAAATGAGTGGGCGCCTATTTGTAAACTATCACAGTAGACCCTTGAACAGCTTATCTTACGGAATTGAGATAGCGAAGATAAATATACGATAATCCGAAAGTATTATTTAACTTTTCTAAGTCAATTTACAAGCATAAATATCCGTATTATTTGCATTTCAGATAATTAATTTTGTTATACAAGTATACTTTGCGGCTATATTGGAAGTTTCTAGATTGCATGTTCGGTACAGTCTATTCAACTTTAGGTAAACTTCTACCAACAGGCAAAAAAGCAATGAAATTTTCATGGGTCCACTGCATTATGTTCATTTAACACTCAATTTAATCAAATTCTAGGCTTAGCATACGCAGCAGTACTTACTTATCATTGTATCTGCCGCCCCCGCCGCGGCGACCGCCGTAGCGATCATCGTAACGATCCCGGTTGCTGCCACGAGCTGTGCCTCTGGCTGGTTCAACAACCACACTGCAGAAACAGAAGCCGGATAACATTTTTTATTTATAGTTTTAACTTTTACATTATTCAAACTTACCGTTCGCCCAGTAGCTCCTTCCCGTTTAATTCGTACACGGCATCGTCTGCGTCACGATAGTCCTCAAATTCCTATTAATTAAACAAGCATTTGGCTAATATCGATTTATCAATTCATTGTTTTGCACACTTACCACGAAGCCATAGCCATTCTTGATGAGTATGTCACGAGTTCGGCCATAGCCTTTGAAAAAGCGCTCCAAATCGCGCTCACGCACGCCGTACGGTAGGCCGCCCACATAAACGCGTGATCCAACCATATTTGTTGTTGATTATGCTGTGTAAAAAGCGTAACGATAAAAATTTGCTCTTGACTAATTCTATTTTGTTAATATTTCAACTACGGCAGACTCATACGTATATACATATGCTGGCGTGAGTTATATATAAGCGTATGTGAATAGTGTGTGTGTATTTGCCAAGATGGCGGCGTCGCCGATGTCAACGTTGGCCACCGGGTACAGAACTTTTTAGCAAATAATTGTTAAGTGCTTTGTTCATGTATTCTTTAAGCATAATCATAATAAAATTGTTAACATACCGTTTACTAACAAGTATTGATTGTAAATATTTCCTTTGCCGGACTCAAACACAATTTTTCTTGTTTTTTACGCACCGCACGTCAGACGAAAAATAATGCAGACTCAACCTCGACGCAATTTATACGGAAATGACACTGAACTCAAAACTGCTTTGCCGCCTCGATGCGGCGTCAGCATTGTAATATTTTTATTTCCTTCAGCCCTGGATCACAATCAAGCAAAACGTCATATATTTACCTGTTACTTGTCACGGCTAAATATATTTTTATTTTCAATACGTGTCCATGTACACTACATTGCATGAGTTAAGAACATTAATATTATTACTTTAATGTACAAACTAAAAAGTAAATGAATAATTAGGCCGTTTGAGCATGTATATGTCACCATACATATATTTCAAGGAAACGTCACGTGTACTAGTCACACTTTTTTAAAAATATCAGTCACTGCTACTATCGCAGGTTCGTTCATCTCGGCCGGCATCTGCTGTCAGATACGTGGTCGCCATTTTTCCAGTTCATTTTCAGCACACTCAGGTACTTACTTTTTCTCTTGCTGTACGTGTGAGTGAGCTGGGCGTCTACTGTGAAAAAATTAATTTTTACTTGTAAGAAAATCCTTGAGCGTATAATTAACTATATAAAAGCAAGGGAAATGGCTGATTTAAATGATTCTAATGGAAACTACGACGACAATGATGAGGTGAGCGATATGTGTGTAATATAGTTGCATGTACAAGTGCCGACGCCGACATATTTAAAATGCTAAAACGAATTTATAATTTTGCTATAAGTGAGCTTAACTACGTTTTATTCGCCAATGACCGATTTATAGAGGGCAAATGAAGAGAAGAATGAACGACGTACCGGTTGCCCTTATTGTAAAAAACAAAAAATAAAATTGTACATGCGGCAATGCAAATATTAAAAAGAAAATGGCGGGCGGCTTTTTTTTTTTTTATTATCGATTTCACTTGTGACTAACTGTACTCTCTTGTTTATTTTTTCCCAGCAAATTTCTGAGCCCGAGCAGCTACGTAAGCTGTTTATCGGCGGTTTGGACTACCGAACCACCGATGAGGGCCTCAAAGCTCATTTTGAGAAATGGGGCAATATCGTAGATGTTGTGGTTATGAAGGATCCAAAAACGAAGCGCTCACGCGGTTTCGGCTTTATCACTTACTCGCAGTCTTATATGATTGATAATGCGCAGAATGCACGTCCCCACAAAATCGATGGACGCACTGTTGAGCCAAAGCGCGCCGTGCCGCGACAGGAGATCGATGCACCCAACGCTGGCGCTACGGTAAAGAAATTATTTGTGGGTGGTCTGCGTGACGATCATGACGAGGAGTGCTTGCGCGAGTACTTCAAGGAGTTTGGTCAGATTGTTGGCGTCAACATAGTGTCTGACAAGGACACAGGCAAGAAGCGCGGCTTTGCGTTCATTGAGTTTGATGATTACGATCCTGTGGACAAAATAATCCTGCAGAAGACGCACAACATCAAGAACAAGACGCTCGACGTGAAGAAAGCAATTGCCAAACAGGATATGGATCGACAGGGTGGAGGTGGTGGCGGCGGCGGTGGCGGCGGTGGTGGTGGTGGTGGTGGCCGTGGGGGTCCCGGAGGACGCGCCGGTGGTCGAGGTGGTGATCGTGGCGGCCAAAGCGGCGGTTGGGGTAACAATCGTCAAAATGGCGGCGGTAATTGGGGTTCCGGTGGCGGAGGCTTTGGTAATAATGGCAATTTCGGTGGCAACCAAGGCAGCTCTGGCGGCTGGAACCAACAGAGCGGCCCGTGGAACAACCAGGGCGGTAGCAGCGGTGGCGGCGGTGGCTGGAACGGTGGTGGCGGCGGCTACAGCGGCAACGGTGGTAACAGCAACGGCAACTGGGGTGGCGGCAACGGCGGCAGTAGCTTCACCAACGATTATCAGCAGAGCTACGGTGGTGGTCCGCAGCGCAATAGCAACTTTGGCAACAATCGCCCAGCGCCATACAACCAAGGCGGCGGCTTCAACAAGAGTAAGTCGAAAAAGGAATAAGCCTGTTTTGGATTTGTTAACCTAACCAATGATTTATCTAGGTGGCGGCCAAGGCAGCGGAGGTGGCCAGGGCGGTTTTGGTGGTGGAAATAATTACAACACCAGCCAAGGTGGCAATATGGGCGGCAATAGACGTTACTAATCAAGGTAAATATGATGTTTATGGTTTATTCTCTTGTCAATGTGTGTTTAATTGTATTTTAAAGCGTTCGGACAAAGTCACAGTTGTAGCGAACGAAAAAAAATGTTGTTGCAAACGAAAAATCGAATTGCTTCGTTGTTAACTGAAAACCCTTATTTTAAAAGTGCTAATGCAAATTTTCTCCTTTCTCGCAAATAGGTAAACACTTACAGAATCAGTTCAAGCTAGACAAAAAGGCAGTCTAGGCGCAGGCAGTGAGACAGGCAGAGGCAGGCAATCAATGACAGTGAGAGGCAGTGAAATTTGGGCAAGGCAGGCAGACAAGATAATGATTTAAGCAAGTAATCAGCAGCTATACAGAAAATGAAGTGTATGCAGTTATCAGGCAATCGACATTGTGTGCCCTCAAGACCAGCCAAAGCAACTAACTAATCCCGATAAAAACAAAGAAAGAACAAATATCAAAACAAACAAAACGAAACTAATTATGTTTGATAAGAACCTGAGAAACTCACTTCAACCAACAAATATCAACAATTTATTGCTAATGTCTTGTCTCAATTATACATACATTTAATTTTTATGATCAATTCGTGTTTAGGATTTTAAGAACCTTGAACGCTTAGTTTTAACTAAATTAACACACCATACAACAACACAACAAACAAAAACCTATCCGAAAAATATACTAAAACTATATAATTTTATTTATAAAATTGACTACTGAAAATGCATCTTTTGCAACAATTCTCTTCGAGAATCGATTGTCCATGTGGATTGAGGTGGCCGAATTGGTGGCCTGCAGTATATAAAAAAAAGGTAGTGTACCTTAAATTCAATGTAGATCGTAGTCGACGATGCTCAGTTTATAAAGCACTCTTCGTACTTTACACATTTAATTTTTTAGAAAATCAGCAAACAATTTTTAAGTAAATATATAGAAAGAAACCTATTTTGTAATAAATTTTTGTATATTTAAGCTTTTTATATCTATGATTTATATTATCTGAGAAATGCCCATAAAAGAAACCAAAAATCTGTTAATCCACAAAGATACGTGAAAATGATTGTGCACATTTTTTACATCATTTTTATTTTCCAACAAATGCATAATATGAATATGCATTAACGTTACATACCAATTTTTGTTAGTGTATAAGACGTATATAGCAGCTATTCTGATTGATTTTTGGTACAAAAGAACTAAAAGTAAATATCATAAAAATATTTGTTCTGTAATTAGTACGTTACGAGGTAAAACAAAAACGAAAGCTAAAAGAAAATAAAACTAATGTTACCCACCCGAAATGTGACTACAGAGAGCAGATAAAAGAAATCCCCCTCCAACCCACAGCAAGAGGAATATATCATACAGAACAATCCAAAATTTATAGAGTTCTGCACTAAGGTAGGCAAAACTGTATCTGATGGGAAGCCACAAAAGAGAAGCGCTCGTGTAGATAATAGCAATTACCGCACTTCGCGTCAAGTTTATACCCTAAACACCTTGGCAACAGCTTACTAATGCACTACGTATTTCTTTGCAAGACTGCTTGAAGAGCTGGACGCTGAATTCCGGGCAGCTGGTACCCAAAGAGCTTGGGCTCACTTACAATTTTGGTTGGCAGTGAACTAAACTGAAGCATTTGTCTCAGTCACAAGGTAAGTACTTTACAATATCGCATGTGCCATTTTTTGATTGCAATAAAATAAATAAGTAATTAAAACAAATTTGTTTCCATTATTGATGCATGGGGGGCTTTGAATGTGGTATAAGAGTAAATTCGTGTAACCAGAGTTGGATTGAAAAAGGGCGATTTGTCAACGGTCTTGATGCTAATCGGTTATCGATAAATGTTGCGTACATTTGCTGCACGAATATTAGACATAAACGGTTACACCGTTTAAATTGCCGTTTACTGCCGCCACATAATTCGAAATAAAAGTTACGACAAATTGGAGAAAGAGAGAGAGAGAGCTGTTGTTACTTTGCCATCACGTGGCTGACGAATACCGTTATTTCGATAAGCGCATAAACTGTCGCTTGATGTATAAGCGCAGTGAGACCTTGTACTTCGATAGGGTTGCCAGCCTGGAGTTAATATATGCCAACGTAGATTAATATTCAGATACGGCAACACTTGTTTGACGTTTAAAACTTTTCCGGCTGTATCCTTGTCATTTAATTTTTAGCCAGTTCAGTTTTTGTGCTTTTCTTTCAGTGTTCAGCAGCAGAAATTTGTTTTCATGCCAAAAATGGTGAATAACTCGGTTGTAAATGCGCCCTTCTACCAAGAGGTAAGTATTTTTATGGCCAATTGCAATTGCCAACGGGCACTACAAATGCAATTTTTGCAGAAGCGCAAAATAGGTGGTCGCTCTGGTGGCACCGGCACTGACTTGGCTGATTCAGATCAAAGCAGCGCCAATGCAGCCGAAAATAACGAGCATTTGCGTAAAATATTTGTTGGTGGTCTCTCAATAAATACCACGGCCGAAACGATGCGTCAATTTTTTAGTCAATTTGGCGTTGTGTCCGACGCTGTGGTAATGCGTGATCCCATCTCGAATCGTTCGCGCGGCTTTGGTTTTGTAACCTACGTTGAACCAGGCGCTGTTGAAAATGTCCAGCGTGCGCGTCCCCATATTATTGACAGCAAGTAAGTTTCAGTTTGTCATTCGAACCAAAAATGGAAAAGGCTTTCACTAATCTTACACGCAGAACTGTTGACACCAAACGCGCATTTCCACGCCATGAATTCAACAAGGCAATTGGCCATCTCAGCAATATTAAGACAAATAAGATTTTCCTTGGTGGTCTTAAAGATTGTCACGATGAGAGTACATTGCGAGAATATTTCGCACAATTTGGTACCATCAGCAGCGTCAAGGTGCTACTGGACAAGGAGACCGGACGCAAACGTGGCTTTGGGTTCTTGGAGTTTGAGGATACAGCCAGCGCTGCGCGTGCTTTAGGTAGGTAGCGCTTAATACCAGAACTTATATTTATTTTTCTTTATACACCTGTCAATAGCTCAAAGCAAGCATTCGATTAAGCTCATCACTGTTGAGGTGAAAAAATCCACCCAGATGTTGGATTGCAGCAAACGCATACGCCTGCCTATTGGCGGTGCCGCATGCGCCGGTTATGCTCCGCCCCAGCCGACCATTATGGATAACTTAGTCTATAATCCGAACTATAATCCGTATCAGGCCCAAACGTCGTTACCACCATCGGCTTTCTTTAATGGCTGGGCCTCATATGTGGCACCTACAATTCCAACAACAACCATGAGCTATCCACACCATCAGCCACAATTGCCTAGCTACCCGCAGGGCGGCTGGGCCTATGGCAATCCTTCGTACGTTGGCTCGGAGTGGACCAGGAACAGTTACAGTTCAATTGTATGGCAGCCGAAAGTTGGACAAAAGCCTATCCCAGCTCAGCCTTTGCAGACTGAGCGTCCCAAGAATGAATACAAGTCTGTGCAGGCTGAAGAAGCTACCAAGAAGCAGGCATCGGTGACCATTGGCGATGCCAATATAGAGAATCACGCCACGGTCGATGTTGAAAAGAAGTGGCTCGCCAAGGAGTACAAGGTCTTTAAACCAACCGGCAGATACAACTTTGGGACTCCCCAGGCAAATCACATTAGTGCCTTGTCCAATGATATCTCAACACCTGCCTATGGTACGCTCCGCAACCAGTTGCATGGGTTTCAATTAATCGTCTCCATATCTTTTTGTTGTTGTTGCAGGCATTTAAGAAGTCTGCTTATGAAGAGAATTCACAATTAATTTATAGTATTATATACATTTATGTATGCCCTGCACTGTACAACTCGTCTATTTGCTAAATGTATGTGAAATACATGCCATATTTTATCGAAACGACTCAACACGAATTTCAGCAGCACACATCATACAACTGAAAAAAATAATAATAATAATGATTAGTAGGATTTTTGATACGCATGTTAAAGAATGTTTTCGTTCTATATTAATGGATGACTTGTCCGACTCATAAATAAAAACGTTTACTCTTTTTGTAGACTTTTAAAACTCTTGGTTTTCTTTTTCCTCACTTTATTTCAAACATAATTTAATTAATTAAGTTAAACGCATTGCAGCATTTTAATTGTTACGATTTGTTTTATGTGTAATGTTTTATACCAGAATAGGTATAAAACGCACCACTGAATTGTATTTGTAGATTTTAATGAATTGTGATTAGGTTTGAAAATGGATTTTATGTTTTTTTTTTAAATTTATTAAAAATTATGCAAACTCGATTGTTTGCTTTTGTGCGCATCAATTTCAGTTTAAATGCCAACTTTATTCGATTTTTCAATAAAATCAAATATAACTCAATGCAAAAATCTCTGATTCTTTTGTTTAAAAATAAATTGGTTTTTTTATTTGCTGCACAAGACACCTTTTACTTTTTTTTTGTTTGGTGTTCATCTTGATTATCGAATACGATTAGTTAAATATTTGGAACTGCTGGGCAAGCTGACCAGAACATATTGCTTTACTTGACATTGTTTTTGTGATTTTTATGCTTTATTTCGATGGCGATTCCGTAGAACTGCATAACTTCTGGGATTTCTTAATACAATACAAAGATGAAAATTGGAAATCAGTTTTCAAAGACTCCTGGTAAGCATACCCAAGTTTTATTTTAGTTTTACAACTATTTTAATTGTATACCTATAAATTAAATTATAATTATTCTTGTTTTTATTTTATACAAACTGTATTTTCTTATAGTTTTGTTACTTAAAAATGAGCATGAACGATATTTGTTGTGTATCGTTTTGTATTTAATTTATTTCGCTTGATTTTTTTTTTATTTATTTTTTTTTTCAAGCCCTTTCAACACTGTTTTTGAGCTAAGATTGAACACTAACATTTTGATTAATTTAAAATGTTCTACGAATTGCTTTAGGCCCCGATAACAGTGCTAAAATTGCTTTCTGGTACAAACAATATGTACTAAACATAATAAACAAAAATCAAAAATAATCTATGATTTAGTTATAGCGCAATTTTCATCGCCGCACAATTAAACAAATGATATGTTTGAAGCTAAACAAAATTTAAATTTACTAATCGAGTTTTAAACAATGTACTACAAATTTGCATATACAAATTAAGATTAGAAATCATTATTTCTATGTGGTTTGAAAGTGCTTCCTAGTTTCTGCTGCTGTCTATCGAAATACCTATGCATGCTTTTTTTTTTGGGGTCTAAAAGTTAACATTACATTTTATAATTTTTCATATATATATATATATCTCATCTCTTGTTACATATTTGCTTGCTTTACCTTGAGAAAAATTTTTAATAGATTGAGTTCTTACATTTTTTTTTTGTTTTTAGTTTTTTCTTTTAAAAATATGTACTAAATTTTAGTTCACAACTGCGTTGGAAACACCAAATCGTTTATGTTACTTGACTTAGTTTGGTTTACGAACTTGAAATTCATTACAAAAAACGGCGCTAACCGCCGATTATGCACGCTGCGGCACCGCATTTCCCAATCCAATTTTAAACAATTTCCCCAATTTCCTTGTTCCACATTCATAAAGACTAGCTAGGTTTTAGGTGCCGGCAAAATAAACTGAAGTGGCAATGTGTGTAGGGCTTATGGGATTGACGGGGGGGAGATATGAAAGAGGGGGCTAGGCGTAAAAAATGCGGCGACGCTGACGTTGCTGCGCTGCTTTTGCCTGCTTTATATGAACTTAAGTTTGAGTGTTTGTTGTTGTTGAGGTCTTCTGCTACACAATTCAGATGAGTGTTTCCCTAAATCGCTTTTACATCATTTTTCTCGTTACTTTTTTTTAAATTTTTTGTTTGTTTTTAGATTACGCTTTTAAGTCTTTATTTTGCTTTTTTTTATTACATTTTTTAAAAAAAGGTTTTTCTTTTTTTGTTTTTTTTTTTTTTAAATTGTTTAGTTTTTTAGCTAAGTTTTCATTTTCTTTAATTGTAATGATTCGCATTTAATTTAATTTAAGTTATTAAGTGCTGAAGTAAATTTTTAATAAAATTAAAACAAACGAAAACATTAGCATTTGCATTTCTCTTCTTTTTTATAGCATTTCTCTTGTTAACTTATAGTTAAAATTTTGAAAATTAAGAATTTAAACGACAGTTGAAATTAAAGTTTACATTTACACTAAGATCTGTGACACTGTGTGAGTGTGTGAGTTAGTTGTTCATGTGAGTGCGTGTTTATGTGTGTGAGTGCAGATGTTTGCATGTATTTGTGGTGGGCTGCATGTATTTGACTTATAATATATGCGTTTAGGCGTTGGCGCGCTTTTTTAACTTTTTTTTTTGGAGGGCGTGCTGCAGCTGTTTTTTGTTTTTGTTGTTGTTTATATTTAGATTTACAACGAAAATTTGCACAGAATTTTGCTTTTTGGCACGAGCTGGCTAATGAAAGAGAACAAAAAGTAAACAAACTGCACAAAGCGAGCTTAACTAAAGGGTGATCCAATAGTATAAATTATGATGTTTGTTGCAGCACGATGCCTCCAATTAATGGTTGCCATCGTTGTAGCTGTTTTCGCTCTAAGGAACGTTTAAACATGAAGACAATTAGATATATTTTTTTTTTATCTTTTGCGTTGTATCCTGTTGCTGCTGCTACTGCTGATTGTGTGGTGTATGTATGCGTGTGTGTGTGTGTTTGAATGTCTGTCTGTGTGACTGCATGGCGTTGATGATGGTAATTGATTGTTTGCATTATGGAAGAAATCGATGCTGACGTTGGGTTGTTGCTGTTGTTATTTCTGCACTGGCGGCCATCCAATGAGAGGCCACCGGTTCTGATAACGCATTTTAACGGCGTCCATAATTACCGCCACCGGTCTGTCCATTGCCGGCACCGCGCAGCGGTCCGTTGGATTGATTACCACCACCGCTGCTGCGATTGTCATTGCGCTGTCCAAAACTAGCGCCACCATTGCCGCCCATGCGCGGTCCGCTGTTGCCACCACCAGCCCGCATATTATTGCGACCCATATTATTCATATTGTTGCCACCAATTGGCTGACGAGGTGGCATATCATTGCGCATACGCGGTTTCTTCTCTTCAACGTTCAGTTTCTGGCCATCGGGCGAGTTCTCTGGGAAGTACAGGGGCTGCAAGTGGAGTTTTGGATTAGAATTATAGGCTAAATGTTCTATTGAGTCCTGTTACTACATACGCAATTGGCCAGGCACTTTTGTACCGCCTCAGGATCATCGTAGGTAATAAAGCCATAGTTTAGTGGACTGCGCATGCCCGGCAACACCTTGCTGCCGACTTTGGATAGAATACGCAAGTCAATAACATTGCCAAAACGCGAGAATAGCTGACGCAGCTCTTCTTCGGATGCATGGTGTGGTATATTGCCCAGAAACAGCTGCTGATTGTCGCCAAACTGTTGTGCATTGCTAGGACGACGCTGCTCAAACTCTGTAAATATAATGCACGAATACATCAAATAATTCATGATTCCACTGATTTATATGCCATGTGACTTACCCTTGTTCCTAATCGAATTGTTGCGCTGTGGCAGAGGACCTCCATTATCTAAGCGAGTGTTGTTGTTGCTGTTGCTATTGTTATAGGAGGAGGATGCGGTTGTAGAGTAGCTGGCCTGGCCGCCGCCAGTTGAAGGAGTATAAACATTGCTCTGTGTTTGTTGCTGCTGCTGCTGTTGCTGCAACTGTTGTTGTTGCTGCAGTGCCGCATTGACAAAGCCACTGGGCGACGACGATGTAGACTTGAACAGATTGGCATAGGTCTTGGGCTCGTTTTGCTGCTGCTTCGCTGCCTCGTATTTCTCCTGTTGCTGCTGCTCATGTATGGTCTTGAAGTCCTCCACTGGGGTTGTTGCCCTTTGCAAGTGGCTGACCTTCGCCTCGTTGTTAATCGGTTCCTCTGGCTCCAATGGCTGCTGCATAGCCTGCGGTGGTGGCTGCTGCTGTTGTTGATGCTGCTGTGGCAGCAGCTGAGGCGGTGCCGACACAAGCGGCGAGTGCTGGAAGGCCGCAGCTGGCTGCACTGGCACTGGTTGCACAATGCCAACATTGGACGGCATCACGGGTCCACTCGGCTGCTGTTGAACCAAGGGCGAGACATTAGCCTGCACCAAAGCCTGCGGCGGTCCCTGTTGCTGCTGTGGCAACTCCTCGTGTGGTACAACTCCGTTCTGGATTGGCGGCGGCGGGTTGGTGAACTGCGCAGGCAGCGGCACCGCTGCAGCTTGTGGTGCTGATGGCAATACGGCCACGGGTCGTCCAGTTGCGGCGCCAGCCGGCAGTGGATAAAACATTTGCTGCGGCGCTGCAGCGGCTCCGCCAGCGGCTGCAACTGGAACAACCGGCTGCGGCAGCACCACCTGAGTGGGCAACTGTTGTGGCGGCTGTGCGGCTTCGCCTACAACCTGGACGGCCTGGTCAACAACCTGGACCTGAACGTCATGCTCCTCATCGTTTTCGGAGCGTGACTCGCCATCCTGCTCATCCTCGATGTACAGATCCTGATAGCGAAAGATATCGTTGTGCACATAGTACTTCTTGGGCGACTGGGCAGCTAGGACAAATGTCTGGGTGAAGCGACGCATTGGCTGACCATCGTTGGACAGCTCACCGGTGACCTGCACGACAACTCCATTGCCGAGAGTGGCCTGGGCATCAACCTGACTGATCTTAGCATGACAATCGTTAAAATTCAATTGCTGTATGCGGTTGTGAATCTCGCGTTGGCCCACAACCAATGTCGATTCGCCGTGTATGAACGACGAGTTGTTGTTGTAGAAGCGATGCAAATGATTGGGCGCCTTATTCAACAGCGTGTAATACTGACGCACGAACTCGCGTCCCACCGACTGCGGCGAAGGCTGTTGCGATTGAGTCGCATCCATGACCATTGCTAGAGTTCCAAGCGTTTGGCTAAGCGGCTAAGTTTAGTCCCAGTGAGAATGAGATTGAGAATTTACTCTGTTCTTGCCGAGGTTTATTTTATTTAGTCTGTAAAACAATCTATATATATATGTATATATACATATACATATATATACATATATGCATTTATAAATTTATATATAAACAAGCTGGGAATTATTTATAATTCAAAGTCTGCTCAGTTGCTGAATGTATTAACACATGAATAACACAAATGAAAAAAATATACCAGAAAATACATTCAGTTAGTTTCTTTTGTTTTAATACATATTCTCCAGTGTTTATATGTGCATATTTCGGCGTTGCTAAGCAAGAGTAACAGAAGATTAGCCGTAAATAAAAGAATTTTAACAAAAAAAAAAAAAAGAAGCATATTTGGGCTGCAATAACAGTAATTGTTGTAACCGAAGATCGGCAACACCGATTGATTTCGCATCAATGAACAGTTAACGTACCAAGAAACAGGCCCTCAAGGAAAAAATGTAATAAAACACATTTAAGGAGACAAATTTTACTGCAGCGCGCACAAAAAGATCCAATGCAGTTGCAATTTGACCCACTTTCATTCCAAGCACCAACGCACATGCACATATATATATGTATATATATATACTCATACACACACACCACGCCGAAAATGCATATAAAGGGAAATTTGGTGTAAACTCAAAACAAGACAAAATGCAGCTGTCATAGCCTCTGCCAATATTTTGGTTGTTATTGCTATTGCTACCTACAAGCATTTTCCATTTTGTTATTGTCCATCAAAAGATCTAAGGACTACATTTTATTTAGTTTCAAAGTAAATGACCTCATACGTAGCAGCGGCAACAACAACGCTGACAAAGTCGCAGAAATGGGAACGTGAACTGCGTAAAGAAGTTTTAGGTTATGTTTGCGCTTCAAGGTTGCGTCGCAGCAGAGGCTAGGACATTTTAGGTGAGCACATTAGTGCACGTGCGCGTGCATGTTATTCTCAGGTATCATCTGTTTCATTGAACTCTACGAAATAACAAAAAATAAAAAAAAAATCGCAACCTATAATGCCTGCTGCGGTTTCGCAACAAAGGCCAACAGCAAAATATAAATAAAAAAAAAAAAAGGCAGGAAAACACTACGAGGCGCTGAGCTTAGTAATTCCGATGTATTTGATTAAAACATTTTCTTTTGAAATACACACGTTCGAGCGAAATAAGAACATTAGATTTCTTACCAATAATTGACGAGCGGACGAAACGCGACACAAAAAACACCGCCAAATACGTGTTGGTGTGCTGTGTGCGTGAACCGCGTGTGTGAGTCGGAACAAAGAAAGCAATAAAAGAGCAATATTTAAACAAACTTACAAAAACAAATGAGCACAGACACTTTTAGGTTATGAGTCGCCAAACACAAGCGATTAAATGCCGCTAAGGCGAAAATGAATAAACCGGCAGTAAAGAAACTGGAACGGCTTTGTATTTGTAGCGCGACCGTTTTTGTTTGTCAGTCGGCCAGTCTATCTGCCACCCCAACTAAAATTGGTATTCTATGTTTTTCTTTGTGCTTTCCATGCGTAACTAAAAATGTGCGGCAGCATGTGGCCATCGCCGGCAGTTGGTACTCACCTTAGCAGTTGTCCGATGTCTGTTTGACTGTTTCTAATGCACAATATTATTGCTTATGGTTTTTTTTATGAGGCCTTTTTTTTTTGCTTGTAATGGCTGTTCTACTCCGCCGCACAGGTTTTATTTTTGTGTTGTTGGTCTTATTTGAAATTTGAGAAATGCTGAAATATATGTATGTATCTATGTTTTAAAAATCAGTTGAAACTGCAACTTAATATTTATGTGGATGAACACACACACGCACACACTCACACGCGAAGCTTGTTGGTTTGGAGCAGCCGCTTTAGACTGCTTCTTCTTCCTTTGCCGTCGTCTGCTTTGTGCAATTTTTTTAGTTTAAAAATTACAAATTTGGCTATTTTTTTCGCACATTACTTGCTTCTTACTTTAGATGTTGGCGATCACAGTTAAATAATTAAGTTTGAATGCGCTGTTTTTGTTTAATTTATGTAAAAAAGAACCGCAAACGCAATGAAATTTAACAAGTGTTGAATTGAGAAGAGAACCGACGTTTATTCGTTTCCCTTTTTCAGTTTTATTCTCGGTGCATTTGCGTTTGTGTATGTGCGCTTTTATGATGGCGGCGGTGTCGTGTGTTCCAGTGTGACCGCAAACAGCAAACGCAACATAACCAAACTCTAAAAAGATACCAAAACCACCAAAAATAAAAAACAGTAACTTTTAATAGATCGGTAATAAATAATAGGTTTTGCAAAAAGTACAAGCTTTTAAACTAACTGATGGCTTGATTTAAAATTGCCTACAAGAGATATACAGCTGCAAGCCCTGCCTTTCTCTGAAACCATTGACACGGAACGTTACCAGACTGTCTACATTCGGTGACAAATATTCGACACTAAATTCATTTCAATAATATTAAAGTGTCAACTATCATTTATTATTACTTTGCATAATTATTTATTGCTTAAGGCAGTTCGAATTGAAATATTAAAACTATCGCAAGGACAATTCTTATATCGAACTCCAAAAAAATTTCAACTTAGTGGCAAGGCCGTTACCATATACACACACGCTGTCTCTGGATTTGTCATTTTCCGGTCGTCAGCGTACGCGCGAGTTTTGGCGAGTGTGCTAAGAAAAAGATTGATAAAATCGCTAAATAGTGCTATTTAATTAAGTTTTAATTGACAATAGAATCACATACACACCACCAATCAAAATGGCAGACAAACAAGTCGATAGTGAAATGAACGGTGAAGATTTCACCAAGGATGTTACCACCAATGATGTGGCGAGCTCTGAAAATGGTGATTCGACCGCCGCTGCCGGTGCTGCAAATGGCAGTTCTGAAAATGCAGCCGCTGCGGGTAACCAGCGTGATGACGACAGGTATTTTAAGTAAAATATTTGACTTCAAATCCATTCAATAGCCAGATAGCCCGAAAAGTATAGAAATCATGTGCCTAACTACATTTTTTTTTATTACCACCTACTCTTTGTTACGTAAATGCAAAGCTAACGTCGTCGTCGAGTGTAAAAAATGGTGTTCGACGAAGCGGCGGCAGCGGCGGGAGTTAGCGCGCCGTTGACGCTGACCCCTTCAGTATTTGCGCGCGTGTCTGTGTGCGACTGTACTTCGCACAACAGTCTGAGCAACTAAACATACATAATTATAATAATAGAAGCTGTCGGAAAATTTTTGATTGCGTCTTGTAGCAAGATATTAGTTTAACAGATATGAAAATATTTCACTACACTGTCGCTTTTATTTTTTGAACTATACATATACACATTGCTGTGTGTGTACATACCCACAACATATATATGTACATGCAATTATACGTATGTATTTATATCAATACTTTTGAGCGTATGCATTATATTTGCAATTGAAAAAAAGCACGAAAATTCCAGTAGCAACAAAGGTAATTCAAGCACATTTCCCGCAGTTGTGAGGTTATGTCCACCAGACACACATTCATACATTTTTACCTAGGTACATTTGTGTATATTCTTTTGTACATGTGTGTATGCATACACAGAAAAGCGCAAAGCGTGTGCTACTTCCTCCTTCAAGCCCCCGATTGCCCCACAGCTCCACGCCTTTCACTTGTAAAAAGTTTTGTTTGTATTTGTAAATTTTATTTTATTTTTTTTTTTGCATTTTTATATGCAGCCATTCGTTGATATTTTTCGTTCGTTTTCGTGCTCTTCCAGTTTTGTACCCAAAATGGCGGATTTTGTGCTTGCTTCGCAGTGCCGTCTCGGTGCGTGCGTATGTATGTAGTTTTTCTTCTTTCTTTTTCTCAACATTTATTCCGTTTTGCTTGCCGGCTGCGCGCTCTGTTGCTGAGGCCGTCGCCATGCCGGCAGTGTTGTCGAGGCAATCCAAAAACTACTTCAATAATACGTGTTTTTTCGCTTGCCTAGATTAGATGAATTTATTTATGTTTCAATTAAATTTAAAGAAATCGATAGTTCTTTAATTACCATGTTGCAGGTTGAATCTATTTTCTTTTTGTTTTTATTTAGGTCGAGTAATTGTATGTGTGCATATTAATTCTTAAGCTAATTTTAAGTCGCAGTCAAAAAGTTCTACAGAAAACCTAAAAAAAAAAAAATTAAATGGAAGCAGCGTAAAGCAAATGGAGCCATATCGTGTACGATAAACAAAATAAAAATAAATCCAAAAAACAATTCATAGCTTATCCTGTTGTGTTTGAGCGAACTAACCTTGTTCCTCTCCGGCAGGTCTTGAGAGAAGTGAAAAGCCATGTTAAGCTATTCTCAAGCAGCCGTGGGCCAATGGAAATTACCAAATGGATGCAGCGTGCGCAACGGATGCCGACAATGTTGATGATGGTATTTATCTAACCAAAATAAAATAAAAAAAAAAAAAAACAAAACTATGTACACACAAAATTATCAACAAATTATCTCGAGTTCTCAATTGGATCCTATATAATATATTATATATATAAAACGTATAACGCATTTATTGTTTACCAAAAATTAAAGAGAAAGAAAGACAGAGAGAAAGAGAGACTCGCATTTTTTGTTTGTTTTTGCCTACTTAAAGAAGCGCATCCGATGAACGTAACGTAACGATAAAGAAAACGACCCCCAGAAACCGAATTGCAACCGATAACGAGTTTAAAAACGTTTCATAAAATGCCAACACGCGGGTACCGTCTAACTTTTCCACACTCTAAATTCCACCGCCGTGATGTTCCGAAATTGCATTACCCCCTCGCAGTGCCATATTCAATCTTTATGAGTAACGTACTCCAAGAATATTTTAAGTATATCAATTTACAAGTTTTTTATAAATTTAGTCAAAATAAAGCAATTAAAATTTCTAAAATCAGCATTAAAAAATCCTTGCATTTTTCTAACATTTAGCAATAATCTTTTTTTAAAAATGTATAAAAAAAAAAAAAAAAAAAACGATATTTTTATACTTAAATTAAAAGTTCATTCTTTGCATATATTTATATACGTATTTTTCGCTCGTTTTGTGACTCTACTCCCTCGCCGTATCTTTCGCTCAGTTTTTCGACGCACATTTCGAATCTTGATTGAAAGTTCATTAATTAAAGTACAGTAATTATAAGCTCTATATTCACTTTGAATTTGGTGAGTTTATTTTGTTTTTCGTTTTGTATTCTTGCTCCGTCTTTGATCTATTTGCAGCAATAACAAAAGTAATTTTAAGACAAATTGTAAAGTAACCGCCAAAAGTGTGGACAGAAAACAAATCCAAAATATTTACAAATACAAATTTGCCACACGCATAAGATAAAACGTTTTTGTCGTGCCATTTTTTCCAACTTCATGAAACCAGAGTTTGCTTTGTAGCATTTATAATATCATTTATAACACTCGATATATTTAATAATTAAAACTAATCAATAATTTTCTGTAACCTTTGACAGGAAACTATTTGTTGGCGGCCTCAGTTGGGAAACGACTGAGAGTAAGTAGCTCGCATTAATTCTATCGGTTTGACCAATATTCAATACGATTCAATTCCTACTTTTCAGAGGAACTGCGCGATCATTTTGGCAAGTTCGGTGAGATCGAGAGCATTAATGTAAAGACAGATCCTCAAACGGGCAGATCGCGTGGCTTTGCCTTCATTGTGTTCACCAACACAGAGGCGATTGACCAAGTAAGTGCCGCTGAGGAGCACATCATCAACAGCAAGAAGGTTGATCCCAAAAAGGCAAAGGCGCGCCATGGCAAGATATTTGTGGGTGGCCTGACTACAGAGATAAGCGATGAGGAAATCAAAACCTACTTCAGTCAATTTGGCAACGTATGTGGCTTAAATCAAGAGAAGAGAACTGTGCTTACGTTTTCCTTCGTTGTTTTATTTTTTTTGCAGATTGTTGAGGTGGAGATGCCATTTGACAAGCAAAAGTCACACCGCAAGGGCTTCTGTTTTATTACCTTCGATTCAGAGCAGGTGGTTACCGATTTGCTGAAGACGCCCAAACAGAAAATCTCTGGCAAAGAAGTTGATGTTAAGCGCGCAACGCCAAAACCGGAGAATCAAATGATGGCAATGCGTGGCGGTGCGCGAGGTGGCATGCGGGGTGGACGAGGTGGATACGGACGTGGTGGTCAGTTATTCCGTAAAGTTATTATTTTGATACCATTTAATATATGTCATTCTCATCAAATGCAGGTTATTCCCATCAATGGGATGGCCAGGGTTCGTATTCGGGCTATGGCGGCTATGGTGGTTATGGTTCCGGTGGCTTTGCCGATTACTATGCCGGTGGCTACTATAATGGATATGACTATGGTTATGGTAAATACAACAAACAACAAAATACTGCTCATAACAATTATTATAATAACACAACGTCAAGTAATTATCATCAAAACAAGAACAATAGCAACAACTATCAGCAGTTCTAATCTAGCTAAATACAGGCAACAAAAGCAAACAAACAACAACTACAACAATAAACAAAAATGCCATTATACAACATTTTGAAACAAATTTCCCTTTACCATACCATAATAATATAATATTGTTGTTTGCCGTTAGCAAAAGAGACATAAGAAACAAAACGGAGAGAAAAAAAAACAAAAACAAACGTTTTGCTGCATTTCTAAATAAGAACTAGAAACACAAGAACATCAACATCAAAACAACACCGTTAAAAACAAGAAAACTTTTTAATTAAAAAAAATTATAAATAAAATATATATACATATTTTTAATCCTTATGAATTTTAAAGTCATTTTTAAAATTGCAAATATATGTTGATAAACATAATTTTATATCCAATCAAAACAATAATTTTATATATGAGTTCATATTACAATTAATTTTAAAATCTTTAAAAATGCATATTTAACTTTTTAAAATTTAAAACGTAATTTTAAAACGAGAATTCATTTGAAAAGCTATACATTTCTTAACAAATTTAAAATTAAATTTGATTTACTAGTGGTCTAGAATTTAAATATTACATAAAACTGACGAAGTATGTGTATCAATGATTGTGTTGTTTAAGGAGCAAAAACGAATGTTAGAGAGACAGATCGTGTGAGAGAGTAAAGAGAGATAGAGAGATAGAGAAAAAAAAAAAGAAAACAATATAGATGGAAAGGTTATACCGACCTACACTATACTTGTTGCATACCAGACCAGACCAACAGGATCAACAATAAAAAAAAGAAAGATAAAAAATAAGATAAATAACGTGTGCGGCCGCCAGAGGTCGCTTTCAACAGACTTTCCAAAGATGACAAATACCTCAAACGCGAAGGCAGCAGCAACAATTAGAAAGAAAACAACAAAAACAGCAATCAGACAAAACCTTAAACTAAACAACACACAAACACATAAACAAGATCATGTGCCAATTATGTGAAACAGTGTGAATCGCCAGCGTTTTGGCCTTTTGCATAATTGCAACTTGTGCCTTTTATTATTGTTAACTAACTGTTATTGTTTGAACCAACTGAAACCAAAAGCTGTTGACACACTCATAGGTATCACGCACACATACGCCACATAGCCTCACACACACACACACACACACACAACCACCCACCCACCCACATACACGCACACACATTCAATCATAGATGTAAATCTGATGATCACATAACTACATTCTCCCCGTTATCTTTATAATAGTTATTTAAATAGTTTTTCCTTTGTGTTTTGTTGAACAAAACGTTAAACAAACTAAAACCATCAATCAAACAAACAAAAACACAAACACACACACATAACAAACAAACAAACGAAACGCGTAATCAAAGCTTTGATTCAACTTCTATTTAAAAAAAATATATATATATATACCTATATATAGCATATAAATATATTTTTAGATGTATATTATTATTATTTCGGCAACGGGATAATATCTACGTTTTTGCAATGCATATGTTTTCGTATGCACGTCAATACACTATATATATATATTTATATCAGATGTATATAAAGAAAATATACAAATGTTGTATGTAATTTATGCATAAAATAAACATTTTTACAAATGGGATACTATTTTTGATAGTATTATTTTAAGGCAAATCTTTGTAAAAATAATAACAACTACAACATAAACAACAACAACAAAACGCAAAAGCAACGAAACGACAACCACTTTAAGGCCGGGCTTGTAACTAAGAGTTCAGCGCAGAAGTAGGCGTGGCTAGGCTTAAGCTGTTGATTAAATCAATCCCTTAAACTAAGCCCAATGCCCACAATTTGCATTTACTGCCATTTTCTGGCTCCTTAATGTGGCGGCCATTCATTCTTTTATTTGCATTTCTGCTTTGCTTTCTTGACCAAATATGCATTTTGCTGACAAAAAAAAAAGAACGAGTCCAAGAATAAGAGAGGAAATTACAATTTCGCAAAAGTAAAACAACTTATAAATCAACACACATAAATTTGATACACTTGATTATAAATGAAACGCGCGCGCAATGCGGCATTTTGCACGTTCGTACGTTGATAAAAAAGAACATCAACAATAAGAGCCACAACTCGAGCGACAACAACAACAACTAATACAAACAAACTTAACGAAAACAACGACAAAAAACAACAACAACAACACTAACTACATCAAGTAAAAGAAAAAAAATGCAAAAAGAGTAAAAACACACTTCGTCAATTTTAGTAATTTTAATTAATAAATTTATATAATTAATATTTCCTATTGTTCTTTTTTTTAAAGTATTAAGTACAATAAACTCACATTAATACACGCATATATTGCTTTTAATAAGCACACATACATACACATAAATATTTACATATATCTCTTATGTTAAAATTTTGAATGCCCAAATCAACTTTCAAATTTTTGTCAATATAAACCAACAATTTGACGTATCGCAATCAAATGTATACATATTAATACATAAATTTTACACAGAAAAAAGAAAAAAATAAGATATGCATTAACTTGAGTAAATTATTTAAAATTTGCATGTTTCTCAATGTTTTAGCTAGTTGTCTATATACAAAAAAAAAAAAAAACAAAAAAACAAATTTAAAAATTACAAAAAAAAATATATATTACCACAATTGTCTTACAAATTTATATTTATGCTATATTTTATATACAAATTATGCTGATTCATAACGACAACGATGTTTTAATGTGCAAACAATTTTTTTTTATACAAACAAAATACTTTTTGTATATTTTATAGCAATAATTTTTTGCCCAATTTATATTAAAACTATAACTACAATATATTCATAATTTTCTTTTTATAATTTCTCAACTTTATAAACCAACTAACCCAACTATCACCAACAACATGTCAATGGGAGCCATAATAGAGTGCGAGCGCTGTTAACAGTACATAACGCTGTTATAGCAACAATGTTAACAGTACGCATGCTGTTAAAACAAAGTTAACAATGCAGTTGCCAATATTATGGGCCCCAGAGACAGTTCTTACAGTTTACCGTTTAAAATATGTACTATTTTTATTAACTCCTAAATATTGTTACATTTTTATTATGATTTTTGAACATACGTGTTATATTTACATTAATGGATATATATATATACTTATTGTAATGCCGATTTTTCCGATGTTTCGCCTCACAAAAAAAAAAAAAAAAACACTAAATGAGAGTAAAATTCAAATCACAACCACCCAAGCAAATATCCAAAATGATCGCAAGTCAACCGCGCAATTTGTCTTGACCAATTCTATTTCGTAACGGTTGCCGGTTAAGGGTGTCTGATGTTGTCTGTGCGACGCGAATATCTAGCAATTCCACAAACAGACACAGACATAGATATCCAACAACCAACTACCAACAGCGACTACACAAATCAACAATAATTTCATTTCGCTTTAATGTAACGTATTTTTCTTTTTTTTTTACTCCTTTTTATTAAATTTAAAGGTTATATATTAAAAGTAATTTAGCGTAATTAATATCTGTTTTTAGTCAAATGAATTGAAAAATCTAAAAAAAAAAAAGTACACTTAAAGTAATTTTAACAATACTTGGAAAAAAGTTTTCTGAAGCAAATCTTTTAAGATATAAACAGTTTTCTTGTTTTTAACAACAAAATACAACAACACATGAGTAAATTATAATAATACCGATAATAACTCGTATAAAGTCAAATTTGCTGACAATTTGCATTTGTTTTTGTTTTTCGCAAGACGTTTTTTATAATACTAAAATTTTGCGACAAGCCCCCCCACACGAAATTCCCCCGAATCCGACTCCCATATCCCCTTTAAAAGAGAAAATTCTATAAAAAAAAGAAAATAATATAAATATAAATTTGATTACTTTTTGCTGAGGTGAGACATTCAAACACACACACACAAGAGCAGCAGATTTCTTCATTTTTTGGCCATTAAGATGAAACAAAATTGTTTTGAAAGAAAAAATATATAAAAACGAAAAATTAACTAAAAATTGAAATGCTGAATTTGTTGTGTGGAAAATGAGGTAAAAATTAGAACATAAAATGCATAGAGTGCGTCAAACTGAGAAACTAAATGAGATATGAATTGCAATACATTGTGAAACATGTTTATAAGTCGAGAGTGAACAACTAACTAACAAATATCCAGAGACAACAGCAATTTAAGAGATACAACAACATCTGAAATTACCAGACCAAAAAGAAAAAAAAAAAAACCAACCGAATCGCGCATGTATGTGTGAGCGCCGCTTTGCGCCTGTTTTTTCTCCGCTTGAGAGAAAGTTAGATGAAGATAAACAACAATGAGACAGAAATGTGTTTTTAATTTTTATTGTGTAACAACAGACAAAATAAACAATTTTTGTATTGCCTGTGCAAAAGTAAGCAACAACAACAAACAACAACAACAACAACAACAACAAGAACAACATCAGCAGCATCACCAACAGCAGAAGAGCAGCAGCAGCAGCAAGAAACATCAAACAAGTTTAGATCATTTTGTACATTGATCTACAGTAGCAATCATTTAACAGCCAATCAATCTTATAATCAAAATTCGCAAATCTAGAAATGAGCAAATAAAAGAAAAAACCTATAAAAAAAAAACCGAATAAAATTGTGTGTTTTCAGTGGAGTTCCCCTTTTCCAGCTCTCTGGTGTGCATTTGAATTGTCTCCCCTCGGCGCGGCGTCGCCGCTTTTTCCTTCTCTCGTCCCACAACCAAACAATACAAAAAAAATTTTGACCAAAACCAAGCTAAAAAGACATTAATAGAAATTTACATACATATTTATACAATTAAATTTCATAATCTAAGCCTAGTTTGTGCTCATGATCTACAACAAATTTTTGTGTTTAAACTCTTAAAAAAAAAAAACAAAAAAAATATCAAACTCTGACTCTAAACAAAGACTATGGTTATGGCGGCGGCTTTGATGGTGGCTTTGGCGGTAATGGCTACGGCAGCGGCGGCGGCGCTGGCGGGCGCGGTGCCGGAGGTCCGCGCGGCGGTCCCAAAGGTATACACAACACATGGCCGTTAAGAAAATTATAAGAAAACAAAAAACAACAAAAAAATTCTTTTTATCCCGAATCCATTTTACTTCTATTTACTATCCGATCTCTGTAACTATTTTAACTGAGCATTTGATTTTGTAATTTAACTAATCTTTCCTTGTCTTTTATTTTGAGCATTCTCCATATTAGGAGCCCAAATTATGTTACTAGACATTTTTTATCCTTAGATTTGGTCAAAATTTTCATCAGTCGCTTGAATCGTTTGGCGTTGTAGTAAATCCTTTAAAAAAAAAAAAAAAAACAAACAGAAGATAAATTTCCCAGCAGCTGTGCATGCTTTTACATACATTCCATTTGCTAATTGAAATCCTAATCTCATGTTCATCTCTTAAAACAGGCGGCGGCGGCGGCGGCGGCGGTGGTGGCGGATTTAATGGTGGCAAACAGCGCGGCACTGGACGCCAGCCACGACACCAGCCCTACTAGGCGGGGGCCGTTTTGGAATCCGCGACATCTACTTATAACTGCAAACTATTTGAATTTAACTTAGTTTAGTTTGTTATGGTAAGAATGTTAAACATGCAGCTAGCACGATTGCCCTTCGATTTGCAATGATGATTGGCAATTGTGTTAAGGTATTTTGTTAAACTCAATGTAATTGTATTTCATTTGAACAGCATACAACAAAACCACACAAACACCTACATCCACACACGCACACACACTTACACACACAGACACACACACACACGCCTATAAAGCGACTGCAGGGCAGACCTCATATTCTCATGGCATAAGGCAAGTCTAGCGGAGCAGATATACAACAACTATACACACTTGTTGTGTAGCACCATTCCAAAAACAAAAACAACAACAACAAAAGCAACAAAAACAACAACAACAACCACCACCACAGCAGAAGCGGCAGCTACAACCTGGCCAAGAAACAACGCATCATTTATATATATAAATATATATACAAACACACACATATACACATCCACACACACACAGAGAGCGAGGGAAGAAATATATACAACATAGAGAGTTAGGCTTGGAGAAATGTAATTTTTTTTAGCAAGTGGCTAATTTTTCATAGCCACACGCTCGTTAAGCCAGCATTGCCCACCAAGAAAACCCCACACTGTACCACAATATTATGCCACACTCACTTTGTGTGTGTGTGCGCGCGCGCGTATGTGTGTGTGTGTGTGGGGCTAAACTAATTTGTTTTTTTCTAATGTAGTCTCATACATTATGCGAGGTAATTGTTTAACTTGTAAGCAGGGTCAGGCATACAGGAGATATACACACACAACATACACACTCACACATGCATACAAACATAAATAGAAAACACGGCAACACAGTTTAATAGTAACAGTAAATACATTATATTAAATACAATAGTCGTTAAGTATTTGTTTAAACTTAATTAATTAATAACTGTAATATGTATTGCATAATTATCATAATGCAACGCTAGGCAGCTGGCGCTCCTGCGGTGCGGGCGGGCTATCTTTATTTAAGCGGACGCACCATAATGGCAAACGTTCCGCATTGTCCAAGTCCGCTTGAAACTACAACAAACAACAAATCCACCAAATTACAAAGAACAATGATTTTTCCGATATAACTGGTAAACGTTTTTCGTGTATGTATTTGCGCTCATTAATAGTCTATATATATATGTATGTATATATAAATATATATATCTTTATATATATATATGAAACAAACAAAAAATATATATATGTATACATATTTAAAAAAAAAAGAAGAGAATTTTATATTTTAATAAAAATCTAATGCAGCATGACAAGAATAAAGTAAAGAACTCTAAAAAAAAACTTGCATCAAGCTCTATAATAATAATAATAATTATATGAAAATCCAAACTGAACTACCCAATGTATAGTTTTCAACGAGACTATTGCAAGAATATTTGTTAAAAGTAAATATATATATATATATATAATATTACCTACATATAACTATATACAAATAACTATAGCTATTTAAATGAGAACTTAAAAAAGAAAATTTATTGAACAAATGTTACGCTAAAAATACGTCCGACTTTTAAAAGGAAATATAGAGAAGAGTGTGGGACGCAATTGATGTAGTCGTGGGGCAAATTCTTTTTGCAGGCAAAAGTTTATTAACTAGCGCAGTAGAATTTCAGATTTGCATTCTATTTCAAATATTTTTACATTTGCCGCTCTTAAGCAGCAGCTCCTCCAGTCAGCCGTAAGCCTCAAGTTATTAAGCGAACAAAATATATGTTTCCATTTCACACTTAATAATAGATATAGTAATTCTTTAATTGAGAATATATATGATGTTCACTTTTCATTTAAATGGACCGGAAAATTCAAGCAACCAGTTTCAATTAAAACATTAAAAAAAAAATACAAAAAAAAAAGACAAAATTAAGCATTTTCATTCATACAACCGCACATGGAAAATTTTTAATGTCGAAAGTAAGCTACACGTATACGTGAAATTTGTATGTACTATACAATACATTTGGGATAGTTCTAATAGTTACGTTTCATCTGCCCAGTGGAGAAGAGCACGTCCAATATATTGAGGAACTCACGATAGTTAAACTCCAAACAGAGTCCACGCTTGACGCCAAAACATTTGATTACGGCCTCGAACTCGCGACTGCTCAGCATATTATGCATTTCGCGCAGGGTGATCGCGCGCAGGAATTGATTCTGGGTAATCGAACCGCAGTGCTGGCGATCAAAGTCCTTGAACACCTGGCTGAGATTGGAGATCTCGTCCGGGCGGCGGGCGAGCTTCATCAGTGCCTGCGAGCAGAGGGTGCGCTCATCAAAGTTGAGGAAGCAATCGACACAGTCCAGATTCGGTAGATGCAGCAGTGGCACAGCCGTGACCAAATTGTCACCCATATTTGTATCGAACTGCATAAAGACCTCATCGAGGGCCTTGCAAAAGTCGCGATACAGAACGCAAGCACTGCGATGGGGCGATCGAAAGCTGATCGAAATGAAATGAAATGAAATGAATTAGGGCTTGTCAATTTGGCGACATGGAGATGACTTACACATTGCACAAAATAGTGGCATCCTCTTCACTGAGAATAACCATGGCGTTGTCCAGGGCGCGCTTAAAGTCGCTCTCCAATATCTGACCCTCGCGATGACGATCGTAGTCCGCCAGGAAGTCAATGACAGAAACACCCTTGGTAATTGCCTGTCGCTTGGCACTGGTCAGAATGCGAGTGATGACCTCCTCGGTTGCCTGCTCGGACGCCACATTGTCGCGCGGGAATGGCGGACATTCCTGCAGATCCTGTTTGCCAATCATGGCCGGCATGGCATACTCTGCCGGATCGACATCATCCAAGAATTTTGTATAGTAAAAGCCGAGCTCATTGCCATAGCGATGCAGCACAGAATCGAGCTCAGGATTCGAGAGCAGTATACCATTAATGCGAAAGATTTGATTGGCCTGGTGACAGTTTACATGTCCGCTGTGCAGTCTGTCAGAGAAAGACAGAGAGAGGGAGTGAGAGGAAGGAGTCGATGGGATTTACTTGCTTTATAAAGATTTCTACGGTACTCACTTGTCATAGTTGCGGAAGAATGGATGCAGGTAGAGGCGACGATTGCGTATGCGTAGACGGATTTTGGCCATGGCTTCTTCGCACAGCTCGCGCACATCCACCGGTGCCGCCTGCCAGTCCAGTGTGCCCGGTCGGGGCAGCTCCTTAATGTGCACCAGGGGCGACTCCACCACGCACTGCGGCATCTTGTCCAGATTTTTAATGGTGAAAACTAAGCGAAGAATAAATCTTGGAGGTTGACAAATGCATATATGTCAGTATTTCTTTACCCGTGTCGATTTCATCCACAAAATTGCGCCAACGCACGCGATTTGTGTCCAAAGGATCCAAATAGCGATCCGCTAATAAATCCAATTCGCGTCTCGACAGATATTTGCCCACGCCCATGTTAGATAGACCGCGTTCAAACTGATTCTTTGTTATGCTGCCCACCTGCAGCGAATCGAATTTTTCTAGAAACTCACAGGTGCGTATCCGATTCTTATAGATATAGTTCTGAATGCAAAACACAATATCGCATTCTCCGCGATTCTTTTTCGGATGATTGCAAGCATCCGGAAAAATGGGCCTGTATTATTTGACAGCCACTTATCGCTGGCAGCTGTGAGAGCTCCAGATCTACCAAACGGCCCGGAAAGTTTTGAATGAGATCCTAAGAAAAAAACAAGAAATTAGAGATATCTTCGGCACACCGAAGATTTAATACCCATGTAGACATTTTCCTCACGGTTTTCCAGATGTGAAACTCGTAAATGTTGGAAAACACAATATTCTGCCATACAAGAACCAACTTTTCGACTGGTTAGGTCTCATGATATTCTAAAAAGACTTTTTAGGGAGCACAGTAAAACTAATAAATAACGTTTGCTCAAGATAGATATCTTGCTAAGAAAAAGTTTTTCATACTGAAACTTACTTTTTGACCGATTGTTCCTATGGCAGTTATATTATATATCTGTATATCTCTATATATAAAACTGTTTGTCCTGACTGACTGACTGACTGACTGACTGACTGATTGGTGATCAACGCACAGCCCAAACCGTAAGAGCTAGGAAGCTGAAATTTTCACTGTAGCTACCTTATGTGATGTAGGTGCACGTTAAGACGGGGTTTCGGAAAATTCCACCCGCAAGTGTGGAAAAATCGCGAAAAACGTTTGGTATGTAACTTTTTTGTTTACCATCGGATTGGCCTCAAACTTATTTTCAAAGATCTTTGTTCAAATTCATTTGAGGGGTGTTTCACACTTTTAGGAAAATCCATTCCTCCTTGGTGGAAATGGAGGTCAAAGATTTGGTGGGTGACTATTCGCGCTCAAATTCATTTCCAGTGATCTATTAGAAAAATCATTTGATACGTGTTTCACACTTTTCGCAGAATTCAAACTTCTTCGGGGGGAATGCGATTTAAAGATTTTTTGGGCGAAGTTTTAAGTTGTGTCCGATTTGCTTCAAACTTATTTTCAAAGCTCTACATAAGAACTTAATAAATACGTATTTCAGCGATTTGGGAAATTCCACCCGCAACAGTGGTAAATTGGCGGAAAACGGTTGTATGAAAGTTTTTTGTTTACCATCCGATCGGCCCCAAACTTATTTTCAAAGATCTTTGTTAAAATTCATTTAAGGGGTGTTTCACACTTTTCGAAAAATCCGGTCCTCCTTGGTGCAAATGGGGGTCGAAGATTTGGTGGATGACGTTTTGTGTTCAAATTTATTTCCAAAGATCTATACGAAAAATCATTTGAGACGTGTTTCACACTTTTTGCAAAATCGAAACTCCTTCGGTGGAAAATGCATTTCAAAGATTTTTTTGGTGAATTTTAAGAGTTTTCCGATTTGCATAAAAGTTGTTTGATTCCCGTCCGATCAGTTTAAAAATCATTTTCAAAGCTTTTTTGATTTTATAACATACGTGCCACGGGCAAGGCCGGGTTATACCCGCTAGTATAGTATATAGCTGTAGCAACAGAAAGGCGGATCTATGCGAAAATTCAAGACAATAGCTTTGAAGCTGAGAGAAGAGTTCGCATAGAATCAGATAGACAGACAAACGGACGGACAGACGGATATGGCCATATCAACTCGTCTATTGATGCAGTTCTAGAATATATATACTTTATGGGGTCGGAGATGTCTGTCAAGACGAAATTGTAATACCTTCTACAAGGGTATAAAAATAGGTGTAGCTTATGTTTTCACAAAATAGAAAATATTCCGTGCTTACTCCCGAGTAATCCAGTAGGTTGTGTTGCCGCAAATAGTCAATGATATTGTCAATGTGCTTGAGAAAGGCCACATAGTTCACCAAATAGCCGTCCTTCATGTAGCGCTTGAGCAATAACAGAAAATCTGATTCCGATAATGGTATCTTCATAAAATGCAGCACGCGTGAAAAGTGCGATACGGTGACAACGCCCACATTTTGCGATATCTATAAAAAAGATTTGATAAAATGGTTTTAGGCGACTTATTGGTGTGATATTAAGCTGGTTAGCTCCAAAGCAAGGATTCTCCATTTTTAAATATTAACCAAAAAACCAAAAGATATAATAAACTTTAAGGGCTACCGGTTCTATCAACAGCAGACTTTGGTCTGAACTTTGGGTTTCCATCTAGGCTTAAACTTGTTGCGAATTGTAACGCATCAAGCATAGAAAAGAATGTCAATACATTGTCAAACATATGTGTAAATGTATAAGTGTGCGCTTGACTGAAAGAAATGCATTCTTAGCGAATTGTTAAAAGCTCTATAGAAAGCTTTCAAATGTTACGTGTACGTGTGTTGTGTACGTGAGCTAAAGCTAAACTGAAACCCATAATTTAATTGGCAATTTTTTGATGATAACTGACCAGCTCATAGTCCTGAAAGTAGGGCATCAATGGCAAGTGTGTTTCTCTGGCTATTTTAAATAGTATCAAGCATAACTTTCGACGGTCTTCCGGTTGTGGTATAAGATTCAAGTGGTAGGGATCATTCCACTCCAGACCGCTAGCCAGCTCCTTATCGGCGCTCTTATGGAGATCTATGGGGAT